GGATCTCACAACATTGCTAATAGCTTTGTTACATTCCTGAGGCTGTCTTTGAACTTGCAATCCTCCTGCCACAGCCTCCCAAGCCACTGGGATTATAGGTGTGTGCCACTGCCCTCAGCTATTTTTTAAGAACAAGTTTATTGAGATATAATCCACATGCTAAAAATGTCACCCTTTTCGAGTAGTATATAACTCAGTGGTTTTTAGTATATTCAGTTTTGAAACTATCACCACTATCCAATTTCAGAATATTTCCGTCATTTCAAAAAAGAAAAACCTGAAATCTTTAACAGTACTCCTTATTTATTCCCTTCCCCCAGCCTCTGAAAGCATTAATCTATTTTCTGTGTTGATTGAGTTGTTTGCCCTGAACATATAAAGGTGAATGGCTTTTTCTACTTGGCATGTTTCCAGGGTTCAGTCATGCAGTAGTATGTATCAGTGCTCCATTTTTTTTTCTATGGATGAATATTGTTCCATTGCATGAATGTGCCACATTCTGCTTATCTATTTATCAATTGATGGACATTTGGATAGTTTCCAATGTTGGGTTATTCTGAAAAATGTTATGAACATTGACATTTTTGTGCCAGATTTTCAGTTATCTTAGGTTTTTAACTATGAGTGGAATTGTTTAGTCATATTTAATTCCATGTTTAATGTTTTSAAGAACTTCATAACTTCTTTCCAACATGGTCACAATATTTTACAATAGGATTCCACTCTCTGCACATCCTCATAATATTTATTATTATCTTTAAATTATAGTTCTTTAATTTTAATTTTAATTCTAGTTATTTCTGTGGGTGTAAAAGGTAAATTTCCATTTGCATTTCCTTCATGACTAAAGATACTAACATTTTGTGTGCTTCCAAGCCATCTGTATATTTTTGTCTGTGTGAGAAAAGCACTTTGCTCATTTTCAATTTAATTATCTTTTTATTATTGGATTAAAATTTTTATATATTCTGATATAAGACCCTACTCTGATATATAATTTGCTAATATTCCTCTGATTATATGGTTCATCTTTCATTTTGTTACAGGGTGAGGCTTCGAATCAGACAAGATTTTTAATTTTCAAGATTCCCTATTTATCTGTTTTTTTTCTTTTTTCTTTCATCTCTTGTGCTTTTGGTATCATATCAGAGAGCCAATTCTAGGTCACAAAAATTTATATGTACTTCTAAAGGTTTCATAACTTATCTCTAACATTTAGGTCTTTGATTAATTTGGAATTAATTTTTGCATATAGTATAAGGAAATAATTCACATTCATTTTTTTWCATGTGGATGGCCAGTTGCCCTGCTACCATGTGCTAATAGTCGATTCTTTCACCATTGAACTGTCTTGTCAAAAAATCAATTGACTACAAATGTAAGGGTTTATTTCTGGGTTCTCAAATCTATGCCATTGATTTGTATGTCTGTTAATCTTATTTCTATGGCTTTGCAGCAAGTTCTAAATTGTGAATTTGAATTCTTTACCCTTGTATTGCTTTTTCAGATTTCTTGGTTATTTGACTTTTTCACATTTCTGTATGAATATTAAGAGCAGCTTGTCAATTTCTGTAAAAGAGCGAGCTGGATTTGCATATATAACTTTAATACTAATAAGATTATTCACCTTTAAATATATACTTTACCTATAAAAATTACAAATCTCTTCTTTAAATTTTGTAAAGATTTTTCACAGGATAAGTCAAAAAGATGACTTGTCTGTTACAAAAGAGATTGGATCTGGTAGAGGTGGGTGTACAAATACTTTCTGAGGCAGTGTTAACTTTTCAGCAGACTAGAGAGGAAGTTATTGAGATAGGTAAGTGCAGGAGCAACGTTACAAAATGGGAACACAGGAAATGCTAGCATGGACATGGAGGGGGATATAGATATTTTCCATAAAAGATGAGTATTCACTCCAATTTTGCATTTTAAGATTGATGATGGGAACTGAGTTAAAAAAAGGTTTACAAGGAGATTTTGTATCATCAATCACTGTTATATTTATGTGTTCACATTTTGAACATTATTATAYATACTGAAAAAAATAATCATAGTGTATCTAAAATATGAGTAAAAGATGAATTTGTAAATATCAAATTTAAAAGAAAGTATATCTGAGCTAGGGTTGGTAGGAAAATTAATAACTGAAAAGTCAAGCATATAGTCACAAAACATTGTTAAAGAGAAAAATAATCTATCCTGTTACATCTTAAGGAATAGACATTTTTGTCTACATGTTCTAGTCACTGTGACAGGTGCCCAAAAGAACTAATACACCAGTCTACTTAAAAGTAGTTCAGTACATGGAGGTTCAGATACACTTAGGAACTCTGGAGTTTTCAATGTCATAATCAGTGCTGTCTTTAAAAAAATCATTTATTCATTTGTATGTTTACTTCCCTTATTTATTGATGCAAATTGTTACTGACTTCCAATCTGATTCAATCCTTAATTAAGCATTGGGGAAAGAAGAGTGAGATAGTTATTGCTAAGAGCCCATTAGAATAAGAGTCCAATGAGAAATCAGAATGAGGGTATTTGATTATAATACAATATGACAATATTTATAATAGAAAAATTCCTAGGAGCATGGAAGAATAAATGGAAGGAAGGAGGAGCAACTTTCCTGGAGACCGTCATTGAACTGGCATTGACAGGAAGTTACTGAGGTAGGTCAGCATGGGAACAGTGCTCAAAAGAAAGTGCAGCACATGTTTGCACAGAAATGTGAAGGACTATGAGGGCGTTCAGGAAACCACAAGCATTCACTAGAGCTGTGTTAGGATTGATGGTGCAAAACGAGCAGAAAGTGGTAAACAATGAGATTAAGGAGGATTTTGTGTGCCTTACAAAGATTAAAATTTAATCTTGTGGCGTTACACTGTAAAATTTCCACCATGTTACATAATCAGATTTACTTGAAGGACCCTTCTGTTAGTGGTGTGGAGGGTAGATCAGAGACGAGACAGACCCGGGGCAGCGAGATGGAAAAATAGGAGCTGTTGCAGCACAAAGAGGGTAAGATGTGATGAGGGACTCAATTAGACCAGCAGCTACTGAAGTGTGGAGGTAGATACAAATATGAGACAGACAGAAAAGGCAAGTCCATGAGACTCAATGATCACATGGGAGCATGAAGGGAAGACAGGACGAGAAGGAATTAACCTGTTACAACGAGTTCAATGTTTGTGCTTCCCTAAATGTCATTGTCAAAATCCTAACTCCCAAAATGAGTTTGAGGAGCTGAAGCATTTGGGAGATAATTAGGCTGCAAGAGTGGAAACTGCCATCAATAGGATTGAGCCCCTTTGAAAGAGTCCCCAAAGAGCTCTCTCACCTTCCTTTTCACCACTTGGGGGCATAACAGATAGCAGTCTACAAGCCAGGAAGATGGCCACCACCCAAACTGGATCATGCTGGCACTCTGATCTCAAACTTCCAGCCTCCAATACAGAGAGAAATAAATCTGTTTAGAAGTCATACAGTCTGTGACACTTTGTTCTAGCAACTGAACTAAGATACCTACTAAATTTTCAGTTTTCCTGTTCCTTAAGAATCTAAAAAATGATATTTATGTTTTTAGTGCATCTACAATACACATTTAAGTACACTAAATTACAGAAGAGATAGGATATTACATTATTCTTTTGGAGATAAGGATATTACATGAAATGTAAAACATTTATTTTCTGCCTTTCCTTAAACTAAATCACGAGTTTAAGTCAATACATTTGGAGACAGTGATGCACTCAGGACAAAATGAACTCAGTGCTGATTTTTATTATGATTTCAAAGTGCATGCAAAGATTACTAGATGAGAGATGAAAGGTAGAAAGGAGAGGTAGAAATGAAAAATGTAGATAGAAACACCTGTCTTATGGTAACTAGGCCTTCCTCTTTGCTTTTAATAAAAATCGCTATGTAAAACTGGTTCATACCTTAGTGAAAGGACAAACCACAGATATCATATGCAAAAGAGGGTCCAAACAGTCAATAGTTCCTGGACTTCTGAGAAAGTGAGTCACATATTCTATTAATGCATTATTTTTATATTAATAAAATACACAAGAAGAACGGTGAATAAATTGGTCATAATGCAGTTAGTCCTCACACTTGGCCAGCTCACTGACTGAAAACAGCATGTGGAGTCATTTCTTTTGACTATTAACATTTTACAATAAAAATAAATAAATATTAAAAACTACAAGGGAAATAAGATATCCCATTCAATGGTTTAAAATAACGGATTAAACACAGCTAAATACATTAATTACAGAAAGACTTCATAGTCTTTACCAAGCTAGTGAATTATAAATAGTGAAGCACAGTGGCCTCTATGTGGCTGGGACAAAAGTATGAAAAGGCTAAGGAAACAAGACAGAACACATGTGCTTCTTTTGTTTATATTTGTATGTCATGTGGTAGAAGGCAGGCTAGGTCTGCATGATGTCAAGATGGATAAAAAGGGTACTTACTAGAACAGCAGTCTGTATGGGTCTGATCACTAAGGTGAGGATGGGTGCTAAAAATGTTAGTCCTTCAGACGAATCTATGCCTGGAATTGAGGAACTGCATCTTGAAGTGTGCTATGTAAAATATTTTAATCCCTATACCAAATCAACTTCTTCTCACCTGATTTAGTAACTGCTATTGGAAACGAAGACAGGAGCAGAGATTTATGGGCCTTTTTCCCCACCGCATATTATCATATAACCTATCACTAAGTATTTCTAAGACCACATATAACTTTAATGTCAGGTTCAATTTAATCTACCAGACATTATTATTAAGCTTGTGAAGAAAAGAAAAGCACTGTTCAAAGGCACTAGAAAGAAGCGTCAGGTGGGAGCCTCAGCAAAAATGGTCCTTTTATAACCTTTCTTTGAAACTGCATATATTTTTGCATAACAAAAATCATAGTAACATAAAACTTTTATCAGTTTCATTGTCTCAGAGTCCAAGAGATAAAACTTTCACACACACACATGCACACACTGAGTTTCACCCCAAAATAGCCACATTCTTTTATTTGATGAATCAATACATTTTTAATTCAAATAGTCACCACATAACCTAGGCATAATATTAAGCATTTTACAAGCAGAGTGTTTTACTGATTTTCTTTTCAATTGCAAAAGGGTACAATAAGTGAATTGGTTAAAGGATATACTTCTGTACATAAAAATATCCATGTATTTATACAAGCGTATGGAACAGAGTTTAAAGGTATTGAAACCATAGCATCACAATAAATAGGATGTGTTCCTACTCCACAGCCCACTTTATCAAGAAGCTGTCAGTCTCTTTTATCAAGGTGCTTTCTGTTCTTCCGAGCTGGGTTCGTATTTTCCCCCAAACAGGTTAAATTAGTAAGAACTGGAGTTGAATGTCTACTTTTCATATGTTATTTTTTATTTGCATATCCAATAAACAGGGTGGAAGATATGGTAATTTATTTCCAAAATGTCATTGTGACTTCCCAATCCTATTGGTTTCATACTTCTGTATTTTTAAATGCACATCAATCTAAGCTCTAGCACCATTCAAGAAGGAAATACATGTATTTTTTTTTTGTCAGAGCAACAATATTTTATATCATCCTTATTCCTCTGGCTATAACAATTCTGTTTAGAAAAAATTTACCAAGCTAAAAATAGTTGATCTAGGTTGTCATAAAAAAGAATATTAAATACCTTTGGTAAAAATAGATATATTTAACAAGATTAGAAAAGGCAACAGTTATAATGTCAAAAAAAGAGAATATAAAAAATGTACACAATAAAACAAATAAACCAACTTAAAGTGAAGATAAGGCCACTCTTCTGTTCAGGTTTGCCTCTTTCAAACCATGAATGTAGATGTAGTTCTCTTCTTCTAAATGGCAGAGATTTTAATAAGAAACAAGGAAAATCCAGTCTTTCCTATCAGCATGACACCAGTTTAATTCATAGCAATATAGTTCCTCTTTAAAACCCAAGTTTATAGAACATGAAACGTTCTGGCTTATATATGCAAGTATAAGGGGAAAACATTCCAGATTTTCTGTGATATTGGGCCCAGAACATGGAGCTTTAGAGTTAAGCAGAGCAACAGAATCAGGTGCTCACTTGCAGTTTTTTCTTGTCCTGACATTAACCTAAGCCATATCATGACATAGGGAATACAGACTGCAGCAAGTGGAAAAAGAACGTGGTAACTAGCTAGCGATCTACAATATTTAATTTTTTTCCATGATTGAAGACCTTTTCTCCTGTCCTTTGGGCTCCTCTCAAAATCGATGTTGCACAACTCATAATTCCATTTGGTATCTCCTCTTTAGAACCCACTGTAAATCCTGCAGATGGAAGATCTTTGAAGCAAACAACTGGGATTATGGATGCAGGTAATGCATTAGTTCTCTAACAGAATCAGCCACTGGCTGCACCTGACAGCTCTGCGAAAGGGCAGCTGGTGGTGATGTGGTTATCCTCCTGTGTTCCCTCTGCACACACAGTCACACTCCTCGTGATGCTCCAGGGCCACGTCAGTGAGTGATTTATGCAATCCCCTGACACCAATCTTTGGTCTCAATTGAAGGACCTGAAAGGGAAGAATGTAAACCACCTTTAAAATCAATGCATGACTATAACATTTGATTTCCTGCATAAAAAGGAATTTTCAAAAACAATCTCAGAGCTCAACAAGACTTATTTTCACATTGCCTCTTGAAAGTGTTATGTAAACATTTCTCCATAAAAAAATATCATAAACTATCATTTCATAAAAGGACACTTCAATGCCAACAATTTGAGAAGTGTACCGCCTTAGAATAAAGAAGAGTTCTTAAATTGAAAGACTCTGTCTGCTCATTATTTTTCTTATGTAACTAGACAGAATTTCACCTCAAGTATTTTGCAACCGCTAATGCACATCTTGTTTCTCTGTTTGTTACTTTCTTATTCTCATTCATTTATTCACACATTTAATAAATATTTATACTTGAAGCAGTACACTCAAGTACAGGAATACTGTGGAAGGAAACATGATCACTCCACAGCTGAGATTGCTCAATTATGCCACTCATTAATTTTCTTGGCTACACTTCAAGTCCTCTATAAACTTGATGAGACGGATTAGATGTACTTCATAGACATCAGCTTCAGTCACAGCTAACTTTCTGCAGCTGGATTCTACTGTACAGTGCTAAGGAGGTTTGGCAATAATAACAATAACGCCTCTATTCAAGGAAGCTATTTGCAGTTTGGCTTGTTGAGCTTTTTAGTAAGAAATATAGCAGAATAAGCACCCTAAATAAACATATTTCCTTTTAATACTGTGACGAAGGGTTCTAGAAGTGTATTCTATTAAAGATTATCTAATGTATTGGAAAGCAGCTACCTATTCAATTCTAATACATTTCTTATAATGGAAATGACAAAGTTTCAGAAATTATGTTTATTTGGGTTTTGAAAAAGACCAATGTGCATAATAATATTAAATTGTCTAGCTTTCTCCTTCTGGGTATGACACAGATGACTTCAAGAAGCAACTTTGAAAAGCTATCATTTCTGTAAATTTTCATTAATCTACAAAAGTACAAGTCAAGTCTTATGACTGTTCAATTTGAAGACTCAAGAAAGAAAACTACAGAATGCATACCTCATTCAAGTATGTGGCTCTATCGAAGGTTAATTAGCTAACATTTTTTGAATACTTGCTGGGTGCCAGGAACAATGATGTTTTTACATACTTTAACTTACAAGAATTCTATGAAGTAATTTACAATTATTATCCTTATTTTACACATGAGTGAACAGAGAGACAGACTAAGTGACATAGTAGTTATCTGAACCTAGACCAAATATGAATTATTAAAGTAAGAATGATACTTATTTTATAAAAGTTCATAATATTACCATTCATACATTCTATTATTATTCTATAAACTTTCTTCCTAGAGAGATAAACTTCAAAGTCTTGTCATAAGTCTTATATTCAGATARTTTTACAGCATCAGAAACTGTAAACTTTTAAAGTAGGTTTTCTCTTCTGTGACATTTCATAATTCCAGAACAAAAATTGTGAAGACTRTATTTCTTCAGCATGAAACTTAATCTACTTGGGTGTTATTTTATATCAGTACTGACTTGTTGTTTGAATAAGCTGGGGTGACATCAAATCTGAACTTAAGGCACCCCTGCCAGTCCTAATCATACTCTTGCTACAAATGGTTTCTGGATTGAGATTGGGTGGGTAAGATAAATCGAAGTAACAGCAAAGCCATTATGTTCATCTTCTAAGTCTACTTGTCTGCATTTCTCACTTCAGAAAAGAAAAAAATATGGTACAAAGGGTAAAATTAGGGAGGCCATCTACCATGCCAATGGCCAGCCCAGATGCATTAGGCTTCCACTCTCCCAACAACTATGCTAAATAAAAGCTCCTCCTCCTAGCTTTGTCTGATGACGCTTGTGGAAATTCACATATAGTAGATAAAACTCAAAATGTCCTAGTAGTTTGGATAAAATATTCTAATCTGCTTAGTGTTTTCCTTTTCAGTTCTTTTTGAAAACTTGGATTTTGGAAGCAAGAAATAGACTTGGAGAATGATCAGCAGGTGCCACCTAATATGAAAGAGGAAAATTTCATCTTCAGGATGTGGATTATGACACCAGAAGTATGGGGGTAGGGAAATGTCAGAAGTCTATCTCAGGGAACTATGAGGGAAGGCTAGGCATGGAGCTCAGCGATAAAGCACTTGCCTGGCATGTGTAAGGCCCTGGGCCCAATCCCTAGCACCAAAGGAAAAGAAAAGACAGAAAGAAGAATTGAGGAAAAAGTGAACACTAAAACTACAAGTCCATGAAAAAAAATATCAGGGTTATGTCTCAAACCAGAGACTATGGAAGAAAATAGATCAGATACAGAAAGAACCACCAAGGACTGGGTACTAAGTATAGTCAAACAAGATGGAATGATCACTCTGCAAACCAGAGCATTAATGAAACAGGATTCAGTACTAGAATAAGGTCACAGGATGGTAAACTTTTCCTAATACAGACAGATCTAAGGTTAGAAAAGCAAGACTCCTGTAGGTTATGGAAAAAAGAAATTAAATATAAGATGTTATAAACAAAATAAGATTAGAGAAAAAAGAACAAATATATTACTATTGTCAGAGTGTTTTGTAAAGTTTTTGGGGAAGGGGGGCGAAGAATACCTTTCCTCCCTCTGAATTCATTAGATTTTTATTCATCATTTACTGTAATTGAAGAAAGGGGAAAATAAAAAAGAAAGAGAAAATAAGCTAAAATGTATGAAAAGTATAAATTGCATCAAATCTTGTTCTAAGTATTCTATAAAAATCTACTCACAGAATTCTCACCATGAGTTACGAGGGTTGGAAAATCATCTTACTGATCAGGAAACTGAGGCATGAGGGATTGAGTTACTGGCTCAAAGGGACACAGCGAACAAATGTTAGCTTCAAATATGGGAAGTCTGTTGTTGGAATTAGTACTTGCAAGCACTGTACTGTAACATGATCTTTGTTTCTCTTAGCCCTCAATTTGGTAGAAACAAAGAAAAATAAACAATGATTTTAAAACAGTAATAGTTCTCTAATAGAGATATCTTTGAAGTCCCATGCATGCTCTAAGGATGAACTAATTGGTGCTGCTAGGATGGGCAGGACTCTTAAAAGTGTTTCAAGGAAGATGTGACATGTAAGTTCATACACATAGAAAGTTCCTAACTCACTTTTCTGAAAATTCCTACTGGAGAGACAGAGAAATTATTAAGAAATATATTTCTTTGGTGAAATGTATTATAATGTAGAGATCCAATGATTGATAGAGAAGAGGTAAGAATCTTACTAAGAACATTATCATGCTATAATACTATTATGCTATCAGCAACACAGTAACATTATATCATACTGTATGATTTCTTTAATTATCTGAACTTATTTTTGGTATAGTGGTTGAACAAAAACCCAGCAAAATGCTATAGGAAACCACAAGAAATACTTGTTTTATCTGTAGTAATACAATGACTATGATTCAACCCTAATATTTGCAGAAGCTGTTATAATACAAATAGATGCAGGAGAGGACAAATAGAACCTATAACCTGTCTTTGCTTTTTCATTTTTCCATGAAGTAGAATAATCATAAAACCCAATTGGCAATATCATTAAAAATATTAAAGGTTGGATGGGTATAGTGGTGCAAGACCATAATCCCAGAAGCTTGAGAGACTGAGGCAGAAGGATCTCAAGTTCAAACCCACCTTCAGCAACCTAATAATGCCCTAAGTAACTTATGGACACCCTGTCTCAAGAAAAAGATTAAAAGGGCTGGAGATGTGGCTCAGTGGTTAAGTGCATTTGGTTTAATTTCTGGTGCATTAATAATAATAATAATAATAATAATAATAATAAATAAAGCTGAAGGTAGACTTGTATTTAAATGAGTTAAGTCTCCATGTCCAGGTCCATAATATTCAATTATCTAATATCTTTGAACAATTTTAAATTGTTTTAAAAATGCATTTAATTAATAGTAGTGCTAGATCAGAAGTGATCTCAAGAATATGGGAATGAGAAAAACAAAGGCCTCAGAAATTCTGAATCGTGTTAAACAAATAGTCCTTTCTCCAGAGGGTAAATGGACAAAAATATTATTGTTATTAGAGATATTTGTGAGACATTGTTGTTATTATAAATATTTGTGATAAACATCAAGTAGGAAATTTTTATATTTCTTCATACTTAATCATTAGAGATGTTTGTGCAAAACTAATGGGTGCTCATGTAATTATAATATAATTAGAAAAATGTTCATAGTTGCACGTGTGTATAGGTGAGTATCTGTAATCAACCCAATGAAGACCAGGAAATGTGGATTAATGTCATTCTGGAAGAACACCACTTGGTCCACAAGCACTGCCCACAGCCTTGCCCCAAACAGTAATGTCTTCATTTTCTGAGGCTCGAAAACAGATATTACAAACTCTGTGGCAACTTTCTGGATAATAACACTAATGTTATTTGTAAAATAAATGGATAGCTATAGGATGGAGGGGGCATGCTTGACCTAGGGGACTGCTTTAGCAAACCACAGAATAAGATTCAGCACCCCATAGACTTGTTTTAAGAAATTGTTTAAGTCAAGTGTGGGTTTTTAGAGTTCATAAAATGGGGGTTATAAATGCAAGACTGGCTGGCTAAATTAGGTCCCCAAATATACTTGTTTATTAAGTACCCATTTCGACAGCTTCAAAATTGAGTGACTTTAAGTGGGAAAAGACCCTTCCAGTTTAATACATATTCTTATCACATCCTTTTATCTTATGCCAGGCAACTCTAACATCTGCCAGCCTAGGAGGCATTTTAATTTGAATGCTATTAAGAACTACAATATTAATTTTTTCTTTTCTTGACTAGATTCCCAGTTCATGGAGTGGCATAAGGCTGGACTGTAGGCACATCCTACCTGTCTGGAGCCCCAGGAGCCTCTGTGCCCATGAACATCTGCTTTTTGCTTGTATGTTTGGTGCTAGGGATTGAACCCAGGGCTTTGCATATGCCAAGCAAGTGTTCTACTGCTAAACTACACCCTCAGTCCCTGATTATCTACTTCTTGACTCTAGAATGGCAACTCCTCTCCCAGCACACAATCTTTACAAGAAAGTGGTATGCAAATAAAAAGTAGAACATGAGAAATGATGGCAAATAGTTCTATTTTTAATCACTGAATGACAGTTTGGGGTGTTACCTCATAAAAAATTGCCATCCAGTAACTGTCATGGAATAAAAACCTGAGAGATCATGATATTTCATGTTTGTTACAGAGGTAGTGTATGCAGATGACAATCAATGGCAGAGCTTGAATGGACACAGAGTCTCTTGTCTTCTAGAATGATGTGTTTTCTTCCTTTTCTTGCCAAGTTACCTACATAATATAGGTGAAGGGCGGGAAGACCATGTCACCCGAAGTGCAGTTTATGAAACTCTACATGTTCAGATTACTCAACAGAGAGCATTTTGCTGATGTCTTTCTAAGTAGGTACCTTTTCCAAAGCAGAAAGTCAAAATAATGAAGTCATATTAAAATAAAGTCAGAGGGCAGATTTTAACTTGTCACAATGTGAATATTTTGTAGAAATTAACATTGACTCATCAAAACCTGACTTTTTCTACATATGCTATACAGTACTGCTGGAGAAGGTGGGATAGAATTGAGGATATTCCAGCACTAATGAAAATTTTGGAATGTGCAAGTTCCCAACACTCTAAAGTAATAATAACTACCATTTCAACTTTATTTTCCTAATTCCAGAGAAAAAAAGAACCAAAAGGGTAAACACATTCATAAAAGTCTGAACAAGTTATTTGTAGCAACATGTATAACACAAAGATTGGTATAACTGTGAACATGTTCCCTTGGGACTTATGTGCCCATTTTGGCCCAAATATAAAAATAAATATCAAAGATCTCCTTTCTTCAAAATACACAATGATTTATCTCTAAGATTGACTTTAAAATATTTTCCCTTCATATTTTGAAAAGTTTAMAAGTTGAAAAGCTTCACTTACATTTTTTCTTCAGAAAAACTTTTTTTTTAATTTTTTGTATGAGAAGTACAAACTTCACTGACCACCCATGATGTACTACTACCAGAGAATAAGCTTTCTAAATCCTTGATGTCTGGGTTTTTAAATGAAAGGTCCTAATTTTAAAACGTAGAAACATAAACTCTTTGTAAAACCCTGTTTTTAAAAATTTTCCATGAATACCACATCTCCTTTCCAAACATGAATCCTTTTCAATTTCACTTTTTGGTTCTAAGAAAAAATACTCAAAGGAAATCGAAAAGAAAATGACACACCTACCTCGTGATATTTTTTAGTGACTTTGCTTGGGACGCAGTGACATTCGTTGCAGTTGTGGAGACAACAGGCACAGTTTCCACCACAGCGTTTAACCAGGAGACAACCTGGCCAGAAAATGGTATCGGTTCTCTTTAGTTCTTCCCTTATGGACACYGAGAAGTTACGAGGTGTGCAGCTGTATAATCTTACCTCCTCTTTTAGAAGGTTCAGATCCACCACTGCATGGCATAGAAGAAAGCAAAGAAAAAAAAATAAAAGAGAGAGAAGTTCATGCTTTGAACTTGAATCTATTTCATTAAGCACATTTCATAAAATAATCTAGTTATTCCATGAACAATAATGCTAATAATATCCCTTCTTATTTTAACTAGGTTGTAAGGCTACTCAGCTCACAAATTAGACTTTCTATTTCATAGTAAACAAAGCTTCATTATGACTTAGTGACCACTAAAGAGTCGCCATTGTGTAATATTAAGAACAGAGCGAACAAAACAGTTGAGAGCTATAAATAGGAAATTTTACAGAGAGAAAAAGGTCTACACCTTTTAACCTCAGTACAAAAGTACACAAGGAGAGCGCTGGAGGGAAGAATACAGTGTAAAATGATGAATGCTTTGATTAAAAAACAAATACAATTTTTAAAGGATGATAGGCTCAGACATTTAATGAAGAACAATTTATTAGAAGCTGGTAAACAGAACTTTCTATAATYTTTTTGGCAATAAGAATCATAAAATATAAAAAAAGAATGAAGAAAATATATTATTGAAGACAGCCAAATGGACCATGAGTTAAAAAAAAAAAGGATATAATTTATAAGAGCAGAAGCTTTGGGGAAGCAGTTTTAAGAATATTAGGGATTTGTGGTCTTTGCAATTTAAACTGAGTAGAATCTTAGATTTCTATTGTTCCCTTGCTTAAGGATGGAAGAAGTATCTCATTTGTAAGCATTGTCTCTAGTCTTTTAGCAAATTGGTTAACTATGTTGTCCTTTATTTTTTAAAAGAATTACCTACTTGTGAAGCCCAAACAAAATATCCTTTCATTGGACAGCTGCAGTAAAACCTCAAAGAACCATTGTTTTTAACTACAAAATGATACTGCCTCAGGAAAATCCTATCAAAATAACTCGTCATGTTTACTATGAATCCATAGATAATACATGAACAGTAGTTACTAGGATAAATACTTGTAACATAATTTTAATTTCTTCTAAGCTCTATTTTTGTCTCTAGATCTGTTCAAACCATTTCAACTATATTGAAGAGTTTCAGGATGACATATATTCTTCCAGCCCACCCAATAATGTACTTAAAAGAAAAATAAAACTAAGAAATGTTACCTAAAATACAATTGATCTAGTTAATAATTTCACTATTATAAGAAACAAGCCTGAGTCAAAAGAAAACTTATTTGCCTGAAGATGGCTTCAAATAGCAATAATCAATATGTAGATCCAATTTTCAAAATTAAGTGTAATAATTTTTAAATGATGATGTAATATTAATAAATCCTTATTTTCTTGGCTTTGTTATATATGTGATCAAGTTTTTTGGAATTGTCAAAAAGAGGTGATTTTAGTATTTCTGAGAAGTGTAAAATTATGCATATGTGGTAATAAATTACAAAYATGATAACTATATAATTGACTAAAACCCAGATCAAGTATAGGAAGGCCCCCAAACATGGCTAATTCAATGGTCCATTTCGACAATTTATTCAGCTAAATAATTAGTTTTCCTATTCAATACAAAAATCACTGCTTTATTTGAGTATTTAAAAGTTTGTTTTTCACCTAAAAATAATTTTATGAATGGATGAAAAGCTTTTAAATATTAAAAGCAAATGAGTTCATTCTTCTCAGTACCCTGAAAAGACCAATTTATGTGTTATACAATTAAGGATATCATTAGGTGAAATGATATCACATATTTTGCTAAATTTCATTTTCCTGAACCAATAGTATATGCATACCTTTGCTCTGGTGTTGTTAACGCCATCATCTTATTTGGACATTTTCTCTGGAAGGTAATATAGAGAAACCATGCAGAAACACAAAAGCTGTTTGCCCCAATTTTCAAAGCTTCAAGATTTATACTTCTTTAGAATGAATGAAGCTCTTAGCTTTCAAGGATAGTCGCCTACTCCAAATAGTTTTAAACACACTATTTCACGAACTAGAAAACGAGACTGTATATGTTCTCTTTAAAATGTTTACTTAACCACAATAAAAGGTTAGATAGATTTCCCAAGTGAACTAAGTTATGATACCTGCTACAATGTGAAAATTTAAACACACTTTCAACTTAGCTTCCACTCATTTATCATGTTTGACACAAAAGTCAAAAGCCTCTTTTTAAGTACTAGTTAAGCTTGACTTAGAAACTTTTTTTTTTTTCCCCTGCAGTGGCAATGGATTAATGAAACTTTGAATCAGAGGAAGAAAGGGAAAGAAAAGAAGCATAAAAACAATGCAGACCACAGTGGTCCAAAATACAATTAAGGAAGTTAAATTTGTATACAATCTTTGAAATTTATGCTTCCTAAACCTAAGACTTTGAACTCAGAAACTTCATTAAAATTAGTCATGAGACCATAATCTTATATCATAAATTCTCCAAACATTCTGCAGAATTTCTAGGCAAAAAAAAAGGAAGGAAGGAAGGAAGGAAGGAAGGAAGGAAGGAAGGAAGGAAGGAAGGAAGGAAGGAAGGAAGATTGTACCTCAAGGTATACTTTGCAGTAGTTTAACTATAATACTAAGGAAGTTTTCTTCTGCAAAATATTTTTAAGTGAAACTCAGCCTTTAGATTATTTTGCCTTTTCATAATTGCCACCTAAGCATTGGTTTGCCTTCTAAACAATAAACATTTTGAGCACACCATTGGTCAAAATCATTATTCCTAATAAAAATTTCATCAGTATTGTAAATTTTACTAAAAAGTATAATACTGAAAAAAAATGATCACATATTTCTTTGGTAGTTGTTCACTCTTTTTTAAGATATTCAATCCAAAGGTATAGTATTACCAGAATGCAACCTGAGGGTGGTCTTTCTAAGATGAATGTGGTAACACTGTGATATGYTTATTCTGGAGAAAATCTATTTCTATGCCTAATTAGAAGCTTTTAAAAGTTTTACTCCTGGTTCCTTTGTAGAAAGACTCTCAGGAGGGGAGTTGATTATGTCTACATAGATGTTATCCCACACCTGCATTTTGGTTTATGTAAAGTCCCCAAAATATACACCACTTTTCTCACACTTACTGTATGATTAAAAAGTTAATAGTTTTGGCAAACTGCAGAGAACTTCAATTTTGAAAGTGTTAAATGAATATCTGAAAGATATGATTCAGGGTTGGATGCTTTTAAATATATGCTAGCCTCTGGCCAAATCTTTAGGCAGTAGGCAGAGATTTCGGCAGAAAGCCATGGCTAGGAGGGAGGATTTTAGGCTTGAATCCAGAAATCAGCTGTGAAAAAAAAACTAGATCTGAGCTTAGAACCTATTTTCCTCCCTTGCTTCTTTCAGATCCACAAGATAATCTACTTCATTTTTGCTAACAAGGGCTCTATTCATGGGTGTTTCAGCCTCTCTTGCTTGATCTTCATCTCCCTGTGTGTAAGTGGGAGGGAAGGGAAGTGCTGTTGGTAAGCTATTCATCAAGTTATTTATCAGGATCAAATCTTATAAATATGTAACAGTGTTCACATCTGGACAGGATCTCACTGCCCATGCACTTGAACACGGATTTCAAATATTGCCAAAAGGAAACCACCTCTGTTGGCATAGCAAAATACCAGGGTTGGGCAAGTTGGAACATGACCTGCTGAGATTTAGTGCTTCAGCCAAAAGGGCTGCAAATCAGCACAGGAAAGGGCAAGAATCAGGTTTCTTTCTGACAAGATTTAGAACAAGTCTGGTGCAATCTGCCTCTGTGAATGGCTCAAATTAACTAAACACTGAAACATAAATTCTCCAGACTGTCATTCCATTCTCTAAAATGACGCTGGGCAGATTTCAATGTTTCTGACGGAATGAAACAGATTGTTTGGAGTGTATCCTAATTATCCAGTTATTCCTGTTCCATTTTCATTTGTGTCTGATATGGATACTTCCTAATCCTAAGTTATTAGAAAAATTAGCTAACCTTGTAGAAAACTCAGTTAACATATTTCCCATTTCTTAATCATGTGGAATTAGATTTAATTAACAACACTTTCACTCTTAAAAGGAGATAGGCCCTTTTGGCCAAAAMTCCTCATTTCAAAAAGCAACTGTATCCAGAGAGAAATTACCTTGGGGTGTTTTCTTCAGGTCATTTGTTTTATTGATGAGAATCTTACCTTAGAAACTTTTAATTACTTTTTATGTTGGGCCATTGTTATTTTTCATATTATATAGATGTTTCGAGACTTAAGAAATATAAATAGATAAAACCCTTGACCCATGGTTGACATGATAATAACGATTTTTATAAAAGTGCCTCCCCTTTTCTAGCACCAAACCCAATTTTGCAGCTCTGATCTTTTCTTTTAAATTTCAAAGTCAATATACTCCAAAAGTAGACTGGAGTAAGCAATGATTCTTATCAAGTGCAACGGACCACTTCACCAAAATGATTTTTTAGAAGATAAGAACTGATAGGAATTTTTACAGATATCTTTCCTAATTTTCCGAATCCACTGAATTGTAATTGACTCTTTTTGTCTATATTCTCATTTAACAAATACATACATTCCAATGGTAAGGAAATGGATTGCCTAAATACAACACTGAAGAATCTTAAACTCTCCCCTTTAGAAGCTGTGGCAAAGGGATCTGAAACATTTCTCTGCTAAGAGAATTAAATGAGTTCTAATCCAAAGAGCAAGCTTACCTCTAGATTTTCTTCCAAAAACAAAAGCTTTGCCAAGAAGTTGCCATGTTGGCCTGTATAGATCTTCTAAGTCCAGCTGCCATCTATCTGGTTCAAGATAGCGAATAAGATCCTCCAAGGTACTAAAGGCGGTTACAGCATTATTAAGCAGGTCCAGTGGCAAAGCTGAAGGGGGTAACACTGAAGGACTCACAGCTTCTGTGAGTTGCTGAAAATAAAAGGGATCTTCTGTTAACTGTTTTAAAATGTATAATGTATTCCCTCTCTTCTTACAGAGACAGAAACTAAGGCTGAAATACATGGGAAGTGAAACTACATTCAACCCCCAAGGTAGAAGAAACTATTTTGCTTCTAACTCAAGTACTTCACATAGATGAACTCTAACAAGTTCTCTGTGAAGTCAGTGAGAAAGATATAACAGACCATTATCACAGACCATGGTAGGTGTGGGCATCTTTCGCTCACACAAAAACATTGAAAATATCACCATGGTTCAGTTATGGACTTAAAATAGAAACTTTTCGACAGTTTACCAAATTTTTATTTTGTTTTCCTTTTTTTTCCTCAGCTCAGAAAAATCACCCCATAGTTATGCAAATTAGTGTCAGATGAATTAAAATTTTAATGTAAAGTAACTCATAAGAACTAGAACAAAATACTGGTGACAATCCTTTGACATTGAAGAAGAACTCATTAATCAAGATGCCAAACCATAGATGATTAACTTGACACATTTATCAATAATGTATTTTAATATAAAAAACTTAAACCAGGATTACAAGATAAGAGAGACTCTGGCAGAATGCCTTGTCAAATTAAATGATTGTCACAAAAGTTATATACATAATATATGGAAAGTAAAGTGACAAACAAAACAACTCCACAGAGAAAAAAAAAGACAAATTCCAGACAAGAAGCTTGAATAGTTAATAAACAAGAAAATATGCTAAAATGCATTAGATCATGTAAAATATGAGATAATATTTCACATTCCACAAAAAGATTCTATTTCACGTACATAAGACTAGAAAATTTTTTCAAAAAATGGATTACTAAGAATGTGAGTAAACTGGAATTCCTGTGCTCTGCCTACAAGGATGAATGAAAGGGGGCACAAACACTTTAACTGATATAACTTATGTGCATTGGATACTGGGACTTATATGTCTTAGGTCCCTGAATTTAACTTTGAGGTCCACATCCTTTCATTTATGCACATGGGAATACATACAATGATATTCATCACAGTAATGTTTCAAACAGAGAAACACTGGAAACAACCTACATGCCCACGTATAGGGGAATGAATAAAAATACATCATAAAACTACATAAACAAGCAAAAAAGTAAGAAGGTAATTTTAATAAAGTGGAGGGAGTGTCAGTGCTTCTATCTATCTATCTATCTATCTATCTATCTATCTATTTATTTATTTTGTAGTTGTAAATGGACAGAATGCCTCTATTTTATTGGTTTATTTTTTATTTTTTAATGTGGTGCTGAGGATCAAACCCAGTGCCTTACATATGCCAGGAAAGCACTCTGCCACTGAGCTATAGCCCTAGCTCATCAATACTCTTAATATGGAGTTTTCAAAACACAAAAGGAGTCACCCTCTTCCCAAAATTTAGTGTGGACTAAGGGTTGGGATTGGTAGATCAGTGTTAAACTACATGAGCAAATGCATTCATTTCAGTAACAACAAAACCACTTTTTCAAATAAATATATGAAAAGAGTATAGAATTAAACACATAAGTTAATTGATGCTCATTTAYAGCAGCGCTTAGAATAACTAAAAAGTGGGAGAAAATGTACACATATAATAGTGGAAGAGTCAATCAAAGTGCATAGTCATTAAAATATGGTCAACCAGGAATTTTTATAAACAAAATAAATGACATAAGTATACCTTTAATATGTCGTGATTCTGGGTTATATACGTTGAAACAAAACAAAACAAAACAAAACAAAAAATTCAAAAGTGCCTTAAATAGTCAAGATAGCTAATCTATGGATCAGACAAGAATGGATGATCCACTGAACTTCTATCCCCTTCTGTGGGTTAGCTTCCACATGTCAGAGGAAACATTTGACTGGGGTCCTAATTAGAATAAGGTATATTCCATGCTTGTATACTTATATCAACATGAATTCTACCATGTATAACTAAAAAGAAACAAAACAAAAAAGATAAGGAAGATCAGTGGAGTAGAAGATGAATAAGAGTGAGGGAGGAAGGAAGGGAAAGGGGAAGAAATATGGAATGAATTGAACAGAATCATGTCATAATCATATATAAAGATAACAAAGGGAATTTTCACCTTTATGTAGAATAGGAAGGAAAAAAGCAAGTTAATAGGGGAAGGAAGTAGGGGAGGAAAAGGTGATGAGGAGTAGCGATTGAAATCAAATTTCTTGCATGTATGATGTTTTTTTGGTGGCGGGGGTAGCAGGGATTGAGCTCAGGAGCTCTCAGCTACTGAGCCTCATCCCCAGCCCAATTTTTWATTTTAYTTAGAGACAGGGTCTCATTGAGTTGCTTTAGTGCCTCACTGTTGCTGAGGTTGGTTCTGAATTTACAATCCTCCTGCCCCAGCCTCACGAGCATGTATGATTTTTGTCAAAATGAACCCAAATGCTATGTATAATTGTAATGCTCTAATAAAAAAAATGAGAAGAGGTGATCTTCATTTTCTTCCTTATACATATACATATTCTCAATGTTTTCTAGAGTAACTATGTATTCCTTTTGGAAATATTACAAAATTAATAACATTTATTGTAACAAAACTCTGTCACATCAGCTCACCATTTTTATTTTCATTATTGGGATCCTGAGCTATATACTAAGTCATGTACTCTACATAGCAGCTTCTTCCCTTGTCTCTTTGTCTTTAATCTTTACTTATTCCTTTTACTCTGTGCTATAAAACCTTGGGTTAATCTTCCTAAAATAAGATATCACTGACCATGTGATGAACTTTGGACAAATGCCTATGTGATTTCACATTTAAAGGATAAAATCCAAATTCCTTCGTCAGCATCCAGGGCCCCACAATCTGACCTCTGCTTCTTTCCCATCTAATCCCCTTCTCATCAAAGACATGAACATTTTGTTCCAATAAATGTAGTCTCTTCATTAATTGCCACATATGTCATATCCATCTCAGACTTTGTGCCTTTACCCATGGCTAAATGTTGCCCCTCCTCCTATAAATACAAATCTTCCCCTTCTGTAAACCTACACAATAAATTTTTACCATTTATAATGGCCTTTTAAAAAATCCAATTCTCCCATGAAACCATCCACGGCAGAGGGCTATTACTGTCCCATATAGTGCAGCTGAAAGAGTCGGTCTCTATGGAATGCTTTGTGGTCACCCGGCTTGAGGGGCAGATACTGCAAGCTAAGAAAGAAGTATCTTTCTCTGGAAAGGCACAATCCTTGTTGGGACTCACAGCTTTGTGTGTGAAGAGTTCTCCTGGACAGGGGGAACTGTTTTCACAGAGCATGATCAGAAGAAAAGTATGTGGCAGCCACCGGCCAACAATGATTTCCTTCTTATTTTAAAGGCTAATTTTATCTATCTATTATCTATCTATCTATCTATTATCTATCTATCTATCTATCAGTATCAGGAATTGAACCCAGGGTTGCTTTATCACTGAGCCACACCCCCAGCCCTTTTCATTTTTTTTTTTTTTAATTTTGAGACAGGGTCTCACTAACTTGCTTAGGGCCTTGCTTAGTTTCTGAGGCTAGCTTCAAACTTGTGATCCTCCTGCCTTAGCCTCTTAGTAATCCATGGGATTAGAAGCATGCACCACCACATGCAGCTAAAGGCCTAWTTTTTTTTTTTTTATAAAAGGCCTAATTTTAATAATGTCAAGATTCTGGTTAAAATATCACAACTAAGATCTTTTCCTAATATTTGACAATGTTCTTGCTCTACCACTTACATTCTTAACTTTTGGAAAGTAGAAACCAAATCTAGTATGTTATTATCGACATAGTGATTTTTATAATTGTCCATAAAACACAAAATTGCTTTGATAGAGATAATATGATGATTGATAATGTCATCACAGACATAAATACAAATGATCTAATTAAGTTTTTCATTTTTGACTTAACCAATCTGTCTTATGATTAGATTTATGTTTCATAGTTACAATTTTTTTTTTTTTTTGCAGCTTTCAAAAATAAAAGCCCACCATTTGACCCAGCTATCCCACTCTTTGGTTGATGTCCAAAGGACTTAAAATCAGCATACTATAGTGATGCAGCCACATCAATGTTTATAGCAATTCAATCACAATAGCCAAACTATGGAACCAAGCTAGGTGCTCTTCAATGGATGAATGAATAAAGAAAATGTGCTATATACACACAATGGAATATTACTCMACTTAAGGAAGAATGAAATTATGGCATTTGCAGGTAAATGGATGGAGCTGGATAATATCACACTAAGTGAAATACGCCAGTCCCAAAGAACCAAAGGCTGGATGTTTTCTCTGATATGCAGATGCTAACTCACAATAAGCGGGTGGGGGACAGGGAAAAATAGAGGTAGTATGGACTAGGCAGAGGGAAGTGAAACAAGGGGAGGGAGTATGGGGATAGGAATGAGAGTAGAATGAATCGGACATCTTTACCCTATGTACACATATAATTATACAACCGGTGTGATTCTACATCATGTACAACCAGAAGAATGAGAAGTTGCACAAAAAAATATCAAAATGTGTCAAAATACATTCTATTGTCAYGTGCAAGTAATTAGAACAAATAAAAAAATCCTATATACCTTCAAAAAATAGAAACTAAAATGTATATACTTTTATAAAATGAATATTAAAAGAGTTCAGTAATATTCAAATAATAACTGAGCGTTATTCATGATTATGATGATATAAAATAAATCTAAAGTTCTATAATCTGCACATGAAAAACAAATGGTTGCTATAAAAGTCATGAAAAAGGTATACATTATTTATGAATGTGGCAAGTAGCAGATGCTTATTTTAAGCATGATATAAAATTGTTACTTAGGCTACTTTCAATTAGACTGTGACCCAACAATGAGTTGGTGTACTTTGCTTCCAAGTCTGTTGGAGACTCACTGAATACAGCCTTCCCTTTGAAGCAATAAAAGGCTACAACTGAATCGATATTGCTGAGATAAAGTTCAACATATTAACAT